AACGGGGACATATAATAGGTGGGAGCCAGGAATACTAAATATCCTGTAACATACTGGACAAACTCCACAGAATTAAACTGCCCAAAATGCTACTACTACTGAGAAACACTGACAGAGAATTAATTGCCAAAGCCAAAAAGCTAATAGTAACTTTAATATAAATTTAATAACGAAATTCAGGAAATTGCCAAGGACAAGCCCAAAATGAAATCAATCATAAAAGTATTATCAAATTCTTGTCTAAAATAAGAAGTCTAGGCTGCCTTTTCAAAATGGCATTGCAACAAAAGCAAAAGATGACATAATCTCAAACAACATTTCTCTGCCACCTCTTTGCCAAGTTTTCCATTTGTGTTTTATAATAGCTTTGATGCTTTATGTGCAAAATCTTATCCTTAGTCACTCCCTAAGATTTTATACCAACGAGTCATTAAGTCCTCCAATTCCCATTCTTCCACATTTGTTCTGGGTCCTTTTTATTACATATAAAATTAGTAGTTAGTTACCTATGAGATTTTACTTGCTCTATTCTTTTCATCTATGACACAACTGCCCCATTAATTATGAAAAAAAAAATCTTTCTTCCTATTAAATCACCTTACATAACTACAATTCCTAACTGAATAGCATGCAGATACCTTAAGTTAACATTCAAGGTCCTTGACAACTGGCTTATTTCTCCTCCAACCTAATTAGGATCATTATTTCAAACAGTTTTTTTTAATCCTTCAAACTACTATGATGATTCTCTTTTCCAACGGTTTGCTTGCCTAAAATAATTCTCCTACTGCTTATTCCCTGCCATTCTGAATCCTTAATTACATGCAAAAATATTAATCAAATGCAACAAATTCTAGTAATCTACATTTGTGTAATGTCAGTAAGCCCCTAGATAATTCTCCCCTGGTTAAGACGGGAAACCTCTTGAGGGTAAGGCTCACACCTTCATTTCTTTTGCATTACTCCCCCAGAACAATATATAGTTAGTTGAAATCAGAATTTTTTAATAAATCATCAAATATAGCAAGTTCATTTTTATAGCAAGAAAAAAATTAATTCAAGGACACAAGATTTCCTAGTGAAAAGAACCAAAATTCAGGCCACAATTTGTAAACTAATGTTGTTTGACAATTAATAAATAAATGCTTGTTAAACAGAACTCTAAGATTAAAAAAAAAAAAATCACTTTGCAAACATGTATCCAGCAACATTTCACTGCAATTGAAAAGAGAATCAAGCCTCTTCAAAGTAAAGACTGCCTATTACACTGTATTTTCCACATATCAAAAAGATAAAGGAGGTTCTTTGATAATAGTTTTGATAATTTTTTTAAATCTCAAATTTTACACAAATTTAATCAATCTAAAATTCCATTTTTCTGTTTGGTCTCTAAATTTCTTTTTCTTTTTTTTTTTTTAACGGTACCAGGGATTGAACTCAGGAGCTCTCAGCCACTGAATACACTCCCAGTACTACTTTTTGTATTTTATTTAGAGACAGGGTCTTATTGAGCTGCTTAGTGCCTTGCTTTGTACTGAGTCTGGCTTTGAACTTGGGATCTTCCTGCCTCAGCCTTCCTACAGGCATGCACCACCATACCCAGCTTGGTCCCTAAAATTTTAACATATAGAATGCCCTCATTGTTTTTAGATGAAATTTATCCTAAAAATAAAATCAGGGTAGCTCATGATTATATTAGGGTTATGAAAATATACTAGTAAACCAAAAGACTGGATGAAGACAATGGCAATATCATTAAAATACCTTCATTTTTCAATTATGACCCATTTTTCCTTTTACTTATCCATATGCAAAATAGTTATTTTATCCCAAGTTCTGATTCCTAGATTACTCAAAAAAATAAAATTGTCTGTATTTCTTCATAGCAAAAAGAATTAAGAGAATTAAATAGCATCATTATCATATTACTTTATATACAAAATTTATAAAATTATGCTTTTCTCCATCTCATCAATAAATACACTGTAATCTCATAATCTTTCTAGAAACCAAGAAGGTTGAGCATTAAGAATTTTTATAATATCAGTCATCTGCTATACATTAACTCAGTAAATACACCAAATCATTTTGCATCATCACTGGTAAGATATTCTCCGAGGACTCAAATTTTCACTAATCCTAGCTATAAAATTAGAGGTAACTTTTTCATCTACTTGTTTGGGTTTTTTATTATTATTATTTTGTTTTGAAATCAAAGTAGGCAGATCAGCTTAGTAAGTCATCCAACATTTAAGAAAATATACTATCAGTCAAATTAGACTTCTAATTGACCAGTTCTACTTCAAAAAACATCTCATGCTTTTTTACTGTGAAGTTTAGGAAAATACTTTATTTATAAGTGAATTTCTCTTCTTAAGACACTTTTTAGGGCAAGTACATTTTAGACTTGTTACAAAAGTCTAATATGAGAATAAAATGGAGACAAATATCAAAAGAAATCATTTGCAATAGGAAAAATACAAAGGCAATATCAATAAATGAACTTAAATATGCAAGCTAAACCTATATGGAGCTTCAAAATTAGAATGTATCCAATTTAGGTATCTAGTTTCAAAAATAAAAACAAAACAAAACAAAATAACATATCTTAAAACACATATGTAGAAAATGAGACAAAACAGAAAAAATCATTTTCTATATAAGCTCATTAGTTACTTAAACTGAACAGAAGGAATGAGTATGTGGTATTGCTGGTAGACAAGCCAATTTATCACTCTGGGATGTTTATACAAATCTCATTAAAAAAAAAAAGTAAAGAAAAGACAGAAAGGAAAAGAAAAGAAAAGCAGAGACAGGTTTGATGAAGAGTTTTCTAGACTTCATTCTAAATATAGTAAGGGTTCTAAGAAACAAATTAGAGTATAATTATAAACTATAATTGCAGGCTCACTTTTACTCATATAATATTTAAAAATTATGGACACCAAAGGACATATACAAGTGATAATTTTAGACACCCGATTCTTGCTTTTTAACTGGCAATCAGCACTAGGCCCAACATTTTAACTATACCTTTGTGTCCACTTTTTAATTGTTCAAATGTATTAGAGTTAAACATATTGGCTAAGACAAATACTTGGTTTTGTAAAAATAGCCTTGTTTGTTGAACTTATAATTAAATTATAAAGGGCCAGATTGGCTATTACAAGAACAAAAATTATATGCTATGCAATTGTTGAGACCACACTCAGAAAACAGTAAAAACTGAATTCACTTAAAATAAAAACAAAATAATCCCAAAATAAAAGATTTAATTTAACTTTAATTTTAGTTGAGTAATGAAATTCTTTTGTTGGAAAGGGAAAATCTGCTTTTAGTTCCAAAAAGTCCTTCTGGAACAATTACCTAGACTTGACACTACAGAGTTTCATTGAAAGCTGACAAAATTAACTATTCCCATCTCCACAAGACTAAAACAGAAATCCTAAATTAGAAAATCTTAATAATTGGATTCAGAAATAAAAATATCTAAACAATTTAAGTCAACAAATACTCTAGCCTCAACTATTTAGACATCTGGGCAAAAGTAGTTTAGATAATACTGTCCTAGATATTCATGGATTTCAGATGGGCCTGGTCAGATTTTACCATTTAAAATATATATATGATTGTGCTACTAGTATTTACTATGTGTTGTGGACTTCACTTAGTAGCACAATTCAAAAACCCATCTGAAATTTTTTATTAGCATTATGAAAATCCTATACTAAATCAGAAATGAAACTTGAGGCATATCCTGACACTATGCAGTACCTCTTTCAAATATTTTAAAAGATTATAAGTCTATTTGTTTAACTCAAATTCTGAAAAAGCTGAAATGTAATTAGGTAAAATTCTTCCCATAGCCCCATTTCTTTTTCTTTTTCTTTTTTTTTTTTTTTTTGACAATAGTAATGTCTTGTGATTTTTTTTTCTATTACAACATACTACCTCAGTAATATGTAGGAAGCAGATATCCTACAGATGAATAAACAAAGCTGCTTCTTTTTAAAATGTTATGTTTTAGTTTAAAAATAAGAATATTTAGGTTGAGTATGGTTAAATGCCATATTAAAAGCAAACACAAATTATATTTAAAGTTAAACAGTATAAAAGAGGAAGTAAGAAAGTTTCTATTGTTCAGACTAAAAAAGTGATCTTGGAAAAAAATCTTTTGAAGTATTTGAAAAACTGCTTATCACAAAATTACTATACCATATCCAGGAAAAATAATTATTTTATTCAACATGTTAATGTACTCTTATCCCAACAGCTTTTAAAAAAAATGAAGACTATAAAAGGGAAAACATCATCAAGAGAGTACAATTCCTGTGTATCTTACAAGAAAATGCTGTAAAACTTCTAGAAATATTAACCCTTCATAATTTTTTATAGAAAACTAATTTGCTACATTTGTCTTCTGTTAATGATTTTCTAGATGGACATATGGGAAACAAATTCAAATCCAACCTCTAATCCAATAGAACAATAAATTTACATAATATACATATAAATAGTAACAAAAATTTCAAACTTTACCATGTATATTTTTTAATATCAAATAAAATGAGCACCATACTATTGTCTTTAAATCTCATCCTTAACAAACTCCACTCAGTAGACTACTAGGCATTAACAAATATATTTCCCCTTAGAAATTTCTAGCTCCTTGCAAAGAAAATAGTTATTACAAAAAAATCTTTAGACCTCTATTCCAATACATATTTTACAGCTGAGAACTGCCTCATCAACATACAATCTGAATGAGTATATACACATATGTATACATATACATATGTATATACACACATAAATATATTTATATATTTTCCCCTAAGGAAAAGCCGACACCACATAATTCCTCAAAATATATGCCCAATTACACTATGTCTTTGGAATTACCCAGGAAAATTTTTAAAGTTTTGGAACTAATTAGCAACACAAAAGGACTGCTGAACACAAAGCAACCATTAAAAAAAAAAAAATTAGACAAAGGATACAGCCTTAAAGCACCAGTCTGAGTTCCCACTGCCAGGATCTTCTGTACAGGATCAAAGGCCAGGGCTGAAGGTTGATAGGGAAATCCATGGCGAACAGTCTAGGGTTGGGCAAGTGTCATCACAGCAACCAAGGTAGCAAAGGATATTTAAAAATAGAAATGTCAATACAGGCATTAGAATTTAGAAGTATACCTGATGCAAAACATACACACATAGGTGCTACTTTAAAAAAAAAAAAAAGTGAACTCTATGTTAGTTATTAACACAGAACCTGAAATAAACAAAAATTTATTGCAGAGTAATACTTCAGTTTTTGCTTTTCCATACTACTGGCATTCTACAGAAAAAAAATTTCCTATTAATGTTCTATACTACTATGTCTGACACCAAATTACTAACGTTTTCAGTAGTCAAAAATTCTGTTAATTGATTTTAAAATGTGACTCATGCTTTGTTTCAAGAATAATTGTCTCATCATTTAACATTACTTGAATGCTAAATGCAAGTACTTCAAGGAAAAGTTGTCATATAATTCATTATTTTGGTCAAGGTATTGGGTAAAGCAATTATCAAGCCATACCAAACATTTTGCAATTGTAACAGAATGGATATGAATACAACAAATGTTTTTGCAATTTACTATCAAGTCCATAATAATTTTAGAGTATTAAGGCAAAAAGTTATGTGTATACAGACTTTTAAGAAACTCTGACGTATGAACACATGGATATTTATGAGGAAGGCTGACATTAATAACAAAACACCACGTTTGTATTTCTCACTGAACAGCTGGTGAATTAATTCGCTGCATCATTCTTTCTGAATTACAAAACGCTATAGCAATTATCTTGCCATTAGCAGGCAAAAATCTCAGTACTAACTTTTAAACCTAACATAATGATAAAGAACCATGCGATTTCATACAGTAGGCCACTGAGACACGTTGTAAGAAAAAAGTGATGAGCAAAGACCTGGTTGAACAGGTTTGACTTTCTGATAAACAATATTCACTAGATAGACACTGTTTTTAAAGAAAATCCAGAAATTGATGAATTTCATCAAAATGTTATAATATAAAAGCTTCCAGATTATTGCTAGCAGTGTCAGGATATGAATTAAAGGGAAGATCATATGTTTGAAGAGCCTTGAAATGATTATTGCTTCTTGTTAGAAAAGAAAAACACCAAGGGAAAGTAGGATATCAGTCTTCAAAATAACCTACCAAGGAAACGTTTGCTAGGGGAGAAACGAGCTCTTTATGAGAACTACAATTATTATTGGTGCTCGTTTCTCTTGCAATACTGTGTAAATCCAGAATCGCCCCCTAAAACGACCCCAGTTTTCCGATGACGGCGTAGCAGGGTTGCGCGCTCTGCTCACCTTACAGAGCTGAAAGTGCTCGGACTGGAGCGTTTCCTGGATCTCAGGCTCCCGGTTCCCTGGCGGGTGCTGCTGCTGTTGCTGCTGCTGCGAGGCCGAGGAGGAGCCGGCGGTCAGGCCGTCCAGCACCTTCTTGAATTTCCTCATGGTCTCTGCTGGGCTCCCCCGCAGCCCAGGAGCGGAGGCACCAGGGGTCCCCGGGCTGGGGTGACGGGCCAAAGCCGAGGGCAGCAGCGACCCAGGACCCGGAGGAGTGGGTGAGCGGAGGAGGAGGAGGAGGAGGCAGCTGGGGGAAGCAAAAGATAATCCGAACAGGAAATACTGCGGCGACGAGCGAGAGGCGGTCACAACAACACCGGGTGGCGACCCCTCTTCCTCCGAGGCCGCCGCGGCTGATGTGGCGCCGCCGCTGCCGCCTCGCTCCGCGGCCCGGCGGCAGCAGCGGAGGTCGGGCGCCCGAGCCCGCTCAGCCCAGCCTCACCTGGCCGCGGGCGGGCTCTGCGCCGCGCCGCCGCCCAGGCTCGCTCGCGTCGCCGCCGCCACGTCCATGGCCCGCGACCCCGCGGATCCTCGCCCGCCCCGGACCCCGGTCCCTCGGCGCGTCCTCCTGCTGCTCTTCCGCGGTCCGCAAAAGCCGCTCGGCCTCCCGCCGCTCAGCGCCGCAGCCCGCCCAGCATCGCACGCACGGCGCCCGGGGCGGCTGCCGCGCTCCACCGCCGCCGGACCGGCCCGCCCTCGCACCTCAGGAGCCCGGCCGCCTTCCTCTGGCGCCGCCGCCAACGCCGCCGGCTCTTCCCGCCCGGCCGCTCCCTCTGGCCTGACTGGACGCCTCGGCACAAGGCACCAACGCCCGCCCAAGCAGCGGCGGCAGCCGCGGTTACAGCGCCCGCCGCGACGGTGGCAGCAGCTGGGCCTCCGCGGAGCTGGGGCTGTGGGGTGTGCGCATGCGCGCCGCAGCCTGCTCCCCGCCCGCGGCTGGTGCCCAGGCCCCCAGCGGCAAGAAACTGGGGCTTAAATTATCCTCTGCGAAAATCCCAGACGCTGGTTGAATTTCTCCCTCCCCGGTCGTGTTGCCAGAGTATGCAGCTGCTTCTTCTGCAGCCGGCATAGTAATAACGTTGAGGACCAAAAACCAGCAGGAAGCCTTGGCTTCAAATTCGGTCCTGAAGCCCGGGGTTGTGCTTTCCCCCTTTCCCGGGGTGCCCGCCCCCGGCGGCTGGCTGCACTCTTTATTGTTGTTGCCTTATTGTGGACTTTGTTCTGGATTGACTTGGATTGGAGTTTCTTTAAAAGGGGGCGTCTAGGCAACGATTATGTCAGGGGCAAAGCAATGACAGACTTAGAAATGTCCTAGGAAAGGAGAGACACCCGTTGGGTTCGGAAACCCAGGCTCTTCCCCGAAGCTGTTAGAGTGGATAAGATGATTCTGGCAGTGGTAGGTCATTGCTAGACAGAATAGGCTGCCGAAGAGGAAGGGCTCTAGCCACGCTGTGACACACCACCCCGATTCAGTCGTGGGGACCCGGGGGTGTGGGGATGGGGGCGGGAGCGCCCATAGCAGTGAACGCGACGCTGCCACTCGGGTTCAGAACCCTCGGTCCGCCCTGCAATCCGATCTGAGTCTTCGCTCTTCAGAAGGGTCGGGTCACAAGAGGGAGATGGACTTTTTGACCCCAGTCTCCCTTGGGTGCTTAGAAACACATATCCGGCGCAAGTTTGCACAGGTGAAGAGAGATTCTTGCGGGGGATGGGGAGAGATTTTCCCCCAAAGTGCGTTCAACAAGGAAAAGGTGGCTGGGACGCAGAGGTGCTGGATTAGGAGGGGTGTGGACAACAAATTAAGAAGGAAGGAAATATTAAAGACGAGTTCTGATTCGGATGGTGGAGATGCGGAAGATAATCTCCGGGCTAAAGACACCTCACCTCCCCTACGCTCCGCAAAATGCTACCGAAGAACTATTCTAGGGTTTGTTCCAAACCAAAATCAGAAGCAGCCGCCCTCTCCCTGTGATTGGCCGCCTCCTGCCGGTTGAGGACAATCTCGTCTCAAGTATTGGCAGATGTGACCGGCCTCAAGAACAGTCAGCAAACCAATCAGGACTGGGGCTTACGGACTTCGGGAAATGTAGTTCCAGGGGAAGCTTCCACATCCCAAGGCTCACGCCTTCCGCTTGGAACCTGTAATTTTTTTTTTGTTTTGTTTTGTATTTAATATTTATTGAAGTAGGCAGTTAATTCACCCTGGGGGAAAAGAACAATAAATCAAATGTGAAGACTTTCAAAAACTTTCCAAGTGGCTCTGAACTTTTGGTGTATCAATTTAGTTCCTCGTTCCTTAAACATATATTGTCCAGTTTGACTCATTGTGCTAGGTTCTAAAGTACAACAAACAAATAAAAAATGCAATACTAACTCTTAACAACAGGCTCACCACAATCTCAAGGGGACATAAATAAGTAATTTTAAAACAACGTGATTAGTGAAGCAGTGGAGTTACAGACAGGAAGACTGAAGAGGGCCATTTAGCTGGCCAGAGAAGGTTTCCAAAGGGAACACCCAGCCTATGGTAGAAAAGCAGGAGTTGATCAGGAAAACAGGAGAGAGAATTGCTATTGGAAGGCAACAGGGGAAGGAAGCATCAAAATGACCTGGTGAACTTTTTTTAAAAAAAGTACAAATACTGGGGCTGGGGATGTGGCTCAAGCTGTAGCGCGCTCACCTGGCATGTGTGGGGCGCTGGGTTTGATCCTCAGCACTACATAAAAAAATAAAAAATAAAGATGTTGTGTCCACCGAAAACTAAAAAAAAATAAATATTAAAAAATTCTCTCTCTCTCTCTCTCTCTCTCTCTCTCTCTTAAAAAAAAAAAAGTACAAATACTCCATGGGAAAACTGCAAAACAGGGAGATCATATCTCCTCAGAATTTTATGATCTGCCTTTCCACCTATGTTTAAAATACATCTGTTGAGGAACTTGTCATCATTGGATTATAAAACTCTTTGAAGAAATGATATCTTCTTGCCAAGAGGCATTGTGGTGTAATGGAAAAATCCTAGGCTTTGTTCCCTTAGACCCTGCTGGACTGATGCACCTGGGCAACTGTGTTTTAATCAGGTGATGCTATATTCTGGTTCCAAATTATAGCATGAGAGGCAGGCATCTGAAATAAACAAAGCCCAGAGATCATCTTCTTCTGGGTATTTGGAATTGAATTATAAGGTTGCTAATTGAACTCAACTAGGAGGAAGTCATGTAGAGTCAGGGGTAGGTGGCGTGTTTTGCTTCATGTACACAAGCTAAGAGTACCCAATCTTAGATGGAACATGGAAGGATGGAGCATATGCACGGAGAACAAATAGCAGTGACCACCAGGGAATGACTCCAGGGAAATGGAAAATAGCATCTCCATTCCTGACTCAACAGTTCCATATGTGATCTGGATATATTTTCTTTCTTTCTTTCTTTTTTTTTTGTAAATTACTTTAAGTGGGTTCCTGGTTTTGCAATAAAAAATTCTTGACAGTAATTAAGACTGAACCTACCCCTGGAAGTAAAGAATGTAGGGTTACTGTCACCATTTTTCACCTGCCATTTGTTACCTTCTATTGTTAATAACCTAAAGTCAAGAGGCTTTTGCAATAATCCACGGAAGAGTTGGTAGGTAGTCTTACTAGGATGGTTAAAAGTTGCAGTGATGTAAAGCAGTCAGTAATATTCTAGATTGCATTTTAATGGGAGAACCAAAGGATTTGTTAACATGAAGTGCTATCAGAGAAAGAAAAGCGGCAAAGATGATACCCCCAGTTTGGGCCTGAATACTTCAGAGAGTGGTATTGTAATTTAATTTTCACATCTATGACTCTTGGGTAATTTCCCTTGACCATTTTATACTTTAGTGGACTCAACAAACATCAGCTAAATAAACAAGCCTTGTCTGGGAAAACAAGCAGGATCTACTACATTGTGATCTTTGTCAAGCTCTGGCCTTTCTAGAAAAACAGATCAACCAGATGTTAGTGATCCTTCACTCTTCTGACCTATGCACATTAAATGATATTTCTACAGTGAGAATAATATTTAATAAGTAACTTTGTTGTCAGCATTTTAAATTTCAATGAAGTATTATAGGGTTTAAATAGAGTTGTAAACATTTTGAGCATTTTTCTAAACTTTTATTTACCATGTGGTTAGATTTTCTGTTACAAGAGCCTTTAAAATTGAACTTGATGCAATTATTCAGTTAATATATTGTGAATGAAATAATTTGCATAACAGTTTAAAAGTTCACATTTCTTCCATAGCCCAACCCTTGCTGCCTCCTTCCACTTCATCCCATAGCCCACCCCACTCCCCAAAAGCAATAATAATAATAGCAACCAGAAAAAAAATCTTTCATACTATAGCAGTTCCCCAACTTATGATTGGGTCCTGTGGGATTAAACTATCGTGAATTGAAAATAGTGTAAATGGAAGAAGCGTTTATCACCCCAACCCATCAAACGTCCCATTTTAGCAACAGTGCGCAGTCTGGGTGACTGGGCTGCTCCCAGCTGACTGGCAGCTGTACTGGAGGTCCTGGCCCAGGCTCTGAGAAGAGCTACCTACCTGGGGTCCCCGCCCTGGAGCAACAGATCCACACTGAAAATTCCAAAAATGGCTTCTACTGAGTTCCTATCACTTTCATACCATCATAAAGTTAAAAAATAAAATAAAATTGTAATTATCAGGGTAATTTGAACAACTGTCGGGGAGACTTTTGTATTTCTCAAAAGAATTCCCTGGGACAGGTCAAGTGGTTCTGAGAGAGTTGCCCAGCCCTCGCCTTTTTTTAAATTAAACACTATTCAGCATACAAAGTAGTGTCCTTTATCTAAAAAATAGGCCAGTGAGGAAGTGAGAGCTTACCAACAGAAACTGACCACTTTTTCCCCTCAGAGTGGCCTGACAGTGAGATAGTGTCAGTTGAGACCAGCTGCTGTGACAGATCCTTTTCTTTTAGGCTCTGGGGAAGAGAGTGTTGTCACATATTCAGTCACCTGATAGAACTTTCAGATGCCAACTTGCTTTACTTTCTGGTCAGCCCTTAAGACTACCACATTAAATCCAAAAAGATCAAAACAAAAGCCTTAACATCAGGAGAGCAGGAACAAGCCTCTCCAAGGACCCATCAGAGCCCAGAGAATTGTACTAACATTGAGAACACTAATTACCTCTCAGAGGTTTCATACAGATGGTGGAAAAGCATAGTCTCGATACATTGGCTGGAGTCCTCAGCTCTGGAACAGGCACCTAGCTTTAAACTTGGAATGGATTCCCTGACAGTGTTTCCACAAACATTACACAGTTCATCCAACAACAATGCACCTACAGATCTCTGATTGGAATATCTGCTTACACT